AGTACTTGGGCCACCTTCCAGTGCTTTTCCCAGGTCCTTAGCAGGGAGCTGGAATTGGAAGTGGAATATCCAGGATTTGGACTAGGACCCAAATAGGTTGCTGGTGTCACCGTAAATGGATTAACACACTATGCCACAGTGTAGCCTCACAGTCCTGTTTTAAATATCACTGTTACTTAAAAATAACAATAATTGTGGAGCTGGTTCCATGATTCAGAGGATAAATCCTAGCCTTGCACATGCTGGGACCCCATATAGGTGCCAATTTGTATCCTGGCTGCTCCACTTCCAATCCAGCTCCCTGCTAGTGGCCTGGAAAAGCAGTAGAGGACGTCCCAAAGCCTTGAGACCCTCCACCCATATGGCAAACCCGGAAAAAACTCCTGCCTTCTGGCTTCGGATCGGCTCAGCTCCAGCTGCTGCAGCCACATGGGGAGTGAACCAGCACATGGAAGATCTTTTTGTCTCTCCTCTGAGTAAATCTGCCTTTCCAATCCTTTTCAATAAACGTATCTTTAAAAAAAAAAGCAAAGAGATTTTATAATTGTGGTAAACAGGAAATAAATCTCAGTCTTCGTCTTCAGTCACTAACACAGAACTTCTAATAGTTGCAAAATTAAATCAGTAATGGAGAGAGGACTACCTGTTACTCAGAATATGTCCCCTTCAACCACATTTGATTTAATGTGAGAAGAGTGACTCCTAGAGGAAGAGGACTAAGGTAACCGGAAAACCCATCATGTGATTAAAGGGTTGGACCTTTCAGCCTTATCCCTGGACTGTGAAGAAAGGACAGGAGCTGGAAATCAAGCTCAGCCAGCAATATCTCGTGATTTAATCAACCATGTCTGTGTAACTGAACCTTCATGGAAAGAAAACTAACAACCTTGGTTGCTAAACAAACCAAAGTGCTGGGAGGGTACAGTATCCAGACAGGGCATGGAAGCTGTATATTCTCCCCTGACACTTACAACCCCATTAATCATCTTACATATATATCTATTCCAACATCATTCCAGATGTACATCAGTTGTATTTTTTAGAAAACAAAGTATTTCCTGGAATTTTGCTAAGCATGACAGCAACTGAGTCCTTACCTAATGAAGTCCGTGCAAACTATGGAAAGTTATAGTTAGAACTGAACTACAGGAGGGCAGGGGTTGTGGTGCAGCACCCAAGATGCTTATATCCCACACTGGAGTGCCAGTTCAAATCCAGCTAGTTCACTTTTTTTTTTAATTCATTTACTTTACTGTAAAGTCAGATTACAGAGAGAAGCAGAAACAAACCTTCCATCCGCTGGCTCACTCCCTAAGTGGCCACGGTAGTCAGAGCTGAGCTGATCTAAAGCCAAGGAGCCAGAAAATTCTTTTCCAGGCCTCCTACATGAGTGTAGGGCCCCAAGACCTTGGGCCATCCGCCACCTCTTTCCCAGGCCACAAGCAGGGAGCTGGAAATGAAGCGGAGCAGCTCAGACACAAACCAGAGTCTATATGAGATCCCGACACAAGCAAGGTGAGGACTTTAGCCACTAGACTACTGCATCAAGCCTAGCTATAGCTACTTCATTTCTTTTTTTTTTTTCCTTTTTTTTTTCAGATTTTTTTTTTTTTATTGGAAAGGCACATATACAGAGAGGAGAGGCATAGAGGAAGATCTTCTGTCTGATGATTCAGTCTCCAAGCAGTCGCAACAGCTGGAGCTGAGCCAATGTGAAGCCAGGAGCTTCCTCAGGTCTCCCACTGGGGGGGGGGCAGGGTTCCAATGCTTTGGGCCATCCTCGACTGCTTTCCCAGGCCACAGGCAGGGAGTTGGATGGGAAACAGGGCGACCAAGATTAGAACCGGCACCCATATGAGATCCCGTCACATTCAAGGCGAGGACCTAAACCACTACACTATCGCTTGGGCCCCCAGCTACTTCATTTCTTAATACTACTTCCAGATAATACATTCTGGGAGGCATGTAGAGACCCAGATCAAGTTCTAGGCTCTTGGTTTCTGCCTGATCTACCCTGGCTGTTACCAGGTACTTGGGAAATTTGAGGGATAAATCAGTAAATGGGAGATTTTTCTCTACCTCCATATCCCTCTCTCCCATCCCAGCCACTCTGCCTTTCAAGTAGATGTAAAGAAATATTTTTTTAAAAATACATTCATAGGGCATCCAGGTGATGTCCATAGAGAAACAGGATTTTTTGGTGTGAGGAGAAATCTATGCAGTTGTGATTAAGTTTTAAGATTTTTAGGGTTCAAAGAGATACAGAGATCTGGCCTCCTCTCCTTCCCCCGCAGCAGATACAGGAGGGGAAAGAACAAAAAGAATTGAAACATTTATCCTGCCCACCTTTCTCCATACTTCCATCCTCCCTACCCCAATTAGAGGCCCACATGGGCAGGCATCCTTCTCAACTATGTAAACAATATTAAAGGTAAAATTTAAAATTAAAAAAGTTATTTTATAGGGCATCCAAGATGTTCACAGAGAAGCAGGGAATTTTTAGTTTGAAGAGAAATCTATGCAATTGTTGATGTTACGTTTTCATACTTTAGGATTCAAAAAGTGATTATTTTTAAGCAAAGAAACATACATGTCAAAATAAATGTGGATAATACAATTTGGTGAAAGTAGTTCAAACTGGTGTATGAACAACATCACCAAAATTTAGCTCAAACTATTCAGGAAATTAGGAAGCTAGCATCACACTGGATTATGATTACTATTTTTTTTTTAATTCATTTGAAAGGAAGAGTGACAAGGAAGACACACAGAGACAGAGAAACAGACATATTCCATCTGTTGCTTCATTCTCAAATGGTTGGAACATCCAGGACTGGATCAGGCTGGAGCCAGGAGCTCCATCTGGTATTCCAAACACTTCGGCCAACTTCCCCTGCTTTCCCATGAGCGTTAGCAAGGAGCTGTATCAGAAGCAGAGCAACTGCTCAAAGGGATGATGGTGCCATCAGGACAACTTTACCCACTAAACCACAACACCAGCCCCTTTTCATTGTAATCTGGTCAACTCTCAATAACCCTGGGGGTTGGTTACAGAATCTTTCACAGATACCAAAGCCCATACCTGCTAAGTCCCTTACACCAAATGCACAGTATACACTATTACATATAATATTCTCATAGCTGCTTAAGTTATCTCTAATTTACAATAAGTTACTTACAATAAGTCATAAATGTAAATACTGTGTTAATTATATTTTTTAGCGAATGAAAAAAAAGTCTAAGCATGAACAACAAAATGCAACTTTTTCCCCCAAGCATTTTCAAGATATAATTTTGTTAGAATTGTGGATGTGCAACCTAAAGCTATAAACAGTAGTCTATGCTTATAGCTAATAGGTCTAAAAAATAAACAGCATTTTTACTACACTTATATGCTTGCTTTATATGTTACTGACGCCCCAGTTACAAAAGGAACAAAAACACATTTTAAGATTGACAACAAGAATATCAAGTTATACTAAACTGTTATATTTTAAAAAGAAAGCCTAAATAGTATTTATATATTCTAAAAATTCTAAAAAATTAAAACTAAACAAGGTTTTCTAAATATAATCTTTATACTAGCATTCAACAACTACAAAAAATTCACATAATACTCTAATTCAGTCCCATAGAAAAAACAAATAAGTTTAGTTATCAGCGCTGTATTTATTCAACACTTTATTATATTTAATTCTTTTACTGCAAATGTCATGATATGATATACAATAAAATATGGTGAACACTGCTTCAAACAACACAATGCTCCAAAAATGGCTCAAAAACAAAACTATTCATGGTAAGACTTCCCTCTGCATCCCAGTTAATAAGTCCTACCCAAGCATATGTAATATATAGTTTAAAAACCTTAAATAAAATTTCACAGCATATTAAGACAATTAAAGCAACACTGCCATTGTTTGCCCCCCAGCCCGCACTGCCATTTTTAATCAACAAACAATAAAAGGCAAGACCTACTCCTGCTAATATCACAAAACCACCTCACAATGAAACAAGTATAAACATGTATATTTGCTAAAATCTAAAATACATAAAAATAAATCTAACTACCATAAAGTTGTACTTCACTTAATAGAAAATTTAAATGAACAAGGCGAGTAATTTTTTAAATATTTAGCCAGAAAAAAGGCACAAACACAAATTCAAACCAAAATGTTTACACATTATCACCTACCAAGTCCTACAATTTACAAACAGAAAACTATTTCATCTTTAGAACAATATTCAGAAACATCTTTGAAACTATACCACTTATGTAAGTATAACACTCTTTCTATTTGAAGATGTCATTTGTATCCTTACTTTCTTTAAATCAAGTCATATTAGTATCCTTCCACTACATTAACAATATGGCCTTAAAAAATTACAAACCAAGTGACTACTTTCATACTTGTTTGTAGTTCATTAAAAATTGATCATATCCTTCAAAGAAAAAGGTTAAGCAGAAAACAGGTAAGTTAGAAGACAGATTAGTACTTAAGCAAGACTTTAGTGTTTTTAAATAAAAGACAAATTATTTTGAGATAAATGGTACATTAAGCCATTAGAAAAATAAGTCATTAGCATCACTAAAAAGAAAAACCAGCCAAGAATATACAGAACTTCAAAACTGCTCTAAAGGAAAAAAGCCTGATGAGATAATTACTTGCATGTGACAATCAGCTAATGATACACAGCAACACTTGTTAGTGAAATCACATGATGACTTCCCAGGATGACCAAAATCCACACACATGCAAGAAATCTCTCACGCTTCCAACAAGTTTCATGTTAAATTATGGGTTCTAATGTGTAAAATCAAATTCACAAATATGGCATTATTTTAGATCTACTCTTTGACTAACATTCTTTCCTAGTCAAAAATTTTCCATACTTTAATGTCTCCGTTTAGCTATTTAAAAAAACTTAATTTTAACTAAAAAGGAAAAAAAATTATTAAATTGATGTGCTACATATTTAGCAACAACAAATCCACTTACTTTTTTCTCTTTCTCATGATGTTTATCCTGAGAGTGAGAGGAAGAATCACTTAAACTTTGATCATATGACCTATTAGATCCCCGTTTGCTCTTTTTCTAAAAAAGAAAATATATATACATATATGTATATGTATATGAAATTAAGAGTTTTTGCTAGGTTTAAACCAACTCAAATTTCAATTATTTTTCTTTTTCTACTGAAGTAAAAAAAAAAATAAATAAAGTCTCACTATCTCAATCTAAGTAATCCAGTTTAGACACCATCCATGTATTATCCATTGTGTTACAAAGGAAAAACTACTCTAAATTTAACATTAATGCCATATTTTTACATATTTATTAATAATGTATGAAATAGGTTGTTTTCAAATAAGTTGCTATTTATTCTCATCATCTGCTTTTTTAAAAAACTTCTTTGACCAAAGGGGAAAAATGCTATGTTAAAGAAGTATGCCAAGACTGGAAGAACAGAAAAGCAAATATTTGAAGAATTTATGCCACTAGGAAAGCAAGAGATTTCTTAATTTTACCCTTTCAGCATTAAAGCTTACTATGATCTAAAAACATATTTAAAGTTCATTTAAAAACATTTTTAATTAAAGAAGATGTCAGTATTAGACTCATGCATTTTCAAAGCATTACTACAAGCATTTTATATCTGTCTTGAAAAACACACCATTGCCCAATAAGTATGAATATGGCAGGTATTTGGAATATATGGAAGTAGGTGGCACTGTAACTAGTTGGCTGAAATTACTACATGAGATATTCAGATTCTATCTGTATAATCATATTAAATTACTAAACAGACTTCTTCTGCAACCTGCAATGAAATAGGAACTTTGACTTATATATTTTACTTAATCATGTTTCATTTCAAAGATGAAGATTATTATACTATCATCACCCTTGAAGAAAAATTTTAAATTTTACACTCCCAAAATTTGTCTTAAAATATTTAATCTTTGTCAGTCAATAAAATTTAAAATTATTTTTAGCATTAACCAAAACACATATACAGTCTTAACTACACTAATATGACAGATACAGTCTAAAAAATGCCTTAGGCAAATTATGTCACTGTGCAAACATCATTGAGTGTATAGAAACATAAGTGTCCAGATGGCCTGTTTTCACCTAGGCTCTATACCAATGCCTACTGCCCGCAGACTAAAAACCTGCACAGGATGTGACTTCTATCTAACAATGCAGGCAACTGTAACACAAGAGAAATATGTATCTAAATATAAGGGGGAAAGCACAGTAGTACAAGATAATGGGAATTTTAACATTACATTATAATCATGAAATCACTATTCATATTTATATAGAGTATGCTATTAGAGAGTATATTATTAGCCCACATACTACACAGGGCTTAAAAGCATTTCATATAAATAAGAATTCCAAAGGCATGAGCTATTGATTTCCTATGTTGAAGGTCCCTAAAGATATTATTTTAAAATATTGAAAGAAAGCAAGCAAGCATCTCATTCACAAGGAATATATTCATTTATACTTTTCTTTAAAAAGCCTTAAAGTTCAGTGTTATGAATCTGCATCATTAAAGAAATGGAGACGACCAAGACGACGACTCTGGTACATTAGAGAAATACTGGTTCTTCAAAGTAACACCTGCAAAAACACACAGCGGCTAATGAAACTACAAAACATCCTTACTTAAGTTTGGCTCTTCACTGTAAAGTAAAAAATAATCAAAAAATAAAATGGATGAATCTGATGAAGCAGAAATAAGTCATAAAGAATCACAAAATAATCAGATGTCAAAAATCTAACTAAAAATATTTTAAAAAGCTAACAGTTGATTTTCCCAACCATCAAAGGAAAAGGACAAGCTTTTACTAACAAAAAGTATGTCTATTCTAAAACGTATTATTATAATATGAAATTCAAAAAAATTCTTACCAGCTTACTAAAATGGTATTTACAGTAGCCACAGTATTGGACATTATCTGCACCATTACCTTCTTCCTCACAAAGTAGTCCAGCAAACTGTGCACTGAAATGAAAAGTCCAGAATATCAGTACAAACTCAAGCCACAGTGCATACAAACGGAACCAACTTACAATCATGAAAACTGTTTTAAGATAAATTTTCCACCTCACCCATAATTAAAATTTCATTTTACTATTTTAGAGCACAGATACTAATGCAAAGTCATGCCTCTCTAATGGGCTGAAATGGCATTAATCCTATAGACACAGATTACATACTCTTTATTAAAAAGGATAAAAAGGAATTCACCCAGGATTAATTTACAATTTTAGTCTAGTAATTTCAAGTAATAACACAGTGGACAAGATAACATGAATTGCGCTTTGCAATGAAAAAAGAGTAACAAAACCTAAAGCTATTTTTGTTGTTTAAAAAAACAAACATATTACAATGAAGGAATCTCAACTGAACTTGCACTGTGGTTATGCAGCAAGGTGTAGGAATCCACCATGGCGGGAGGGTTGGGGGAGAAGCGGGGGTAATCCCAGTGCCTATGAAACTGTGTCACATAATGCAATATGTAATTAATTCAATTTTTCAAAAAGACATTAAAAAAAACCATGAGATGGCGGTCACTATGGTGCAACAGTACAAGCTACCATTTGGGACACTTGCACCTCATAACAGAAGTTATGTCCTGGCTGCTCTTCTTCCAATCCAACTTCCTGCTAATACACCTGGGAAAGACAGCAGTAAGACCTGGATGGAAGTTCCTGGCTTTAGCCTAACCCAGTCCCGGCTCTTTGGGGAGTTTAAGAGACGATGAAAGACCTCTCTTTATATAATGTTCCTTTTAAATAAACAAATAAATCACTTTTCATTCCCCAAAAGCATATCATATATCCAAACTCTAAATGCTCTGGCAATAAGCCTACACCTACATTGGCAGCACGCATTAAAATTAGTAACTGAATTATTCCCAAACTGCTACTTTGATTTATTATGAATTACATAGGAATCTACTTTTGAACAAATTTGCTCATGAAATTTTATGCTGAAAAAATACCTGAAGTAAATGTTTGAGAAGTAGCAGCACTATAACATGAAGAACGACAGTGATCCCATCATTTTCCCCTTGAGACTCTTAACTGAAACACTTATCATTTATTAAATTTTTTTAAGATTTATTAAAGGCAGAGTTAGAGGGAGAGACAGAGAAATACACAGAGCTTTTACAACAATTCATTAACTCCCCCAGTGGTTGACAGCCAGGGCAGGGCAGGCTAAAGCCAAGAGCCAGGTCGGCCACATGGGTAGCAGGGCCCAAGAACTTGAACCATCTTCTGCTGCTTTCCTAGTACATCAGCACTGAATTATTATAGTAAGTAAAGCACTGCATTAAATTTACTTATATCAACTCCTTTAATCTTAATGTCAACTCCAAAGAGTAGTTAATATCAATACTTCCAATAAAATCAAACTAAAGTTAGATTATATTATCTGGAGTAAATGCACTCAAAGGAATCATGTTCATTACATAGAAGTAGATCTGACCATTAACCAAAAAAAAAAAAAACATTTTAAAGTATGGGCACCTAACTAAAGGTCTTTAATTTTGTCACACAATTTATTCCCGGATCTCAGTTCTGTATAATGATAAGCACACACTTACCAAGTTACATGGAAAGCCTGTCTACATCCATGTTTATTACATGTCATGCAAGCACCAGTGGCTGCTTTGCTTTCTCGTCCCTGTTCATCACAAATGTAGCAAGTCTAGGGATAGAGAGAAATAAATAAACAAAACAAAAATCATACAAGTCCATAACATGAACATGAATTTTATAATTATCATTAAAAAATGTAGGTCATGTTTACTATTTAAACTACTTTCAGAACATGAATTCTTTTGAGGATAGTTTAAATAATTTTCACAAACATGCAAACAGGAAAACATAAGCAATAACACAAAAATACACCTAGTAACATAACAGTTCATAAAGCCAGTATGTCAAAAATCAGTTTCACAGACACTGAGACCAGCACATAGTATACCACAAGATGCAGGCTCATCTTTACTCAGCAAGAAATAAGCACATTTATTTAACACAAGGAGTTGGGGCATAAGAAACAAAGGACAGTCCTAGTGTCTAAGCAAGGTTTAGGTCATTCCAACTTTACAGGAAACATCTTATGGAAGCTGTCATTTAGCCCCACCAACTTGACAAGCTGAGTAGGGAAGAAGACACGTTAGTTAACAAGTCCAGAATGCCCCCAAGAAGTGTAAATGGATGAGCACCTCCAGGAACTTTGACAGCTGGTTCATTTCCCATTTAAAAGTAAACATTGCTTTTTCAATCTCAAATTCATGGCTGGTCATATGATGGAATATTCGATTACACACGTGGTAGCCTATGACTCTCAGGGTATAATGAGTACTACTTTTAGCTGATTAAAAGTCAGGTATACAAATAAATATCAAACTATAATCACAAAGACACATTGAAGAAGAAACCAATTTCTAAACAGTAATAACAGCAATAAATTAGCTAACTTCATCAACACTTAAAATGCCATGGACACCTGTGTTCTTCAAAAAAAAAAGGCAGGAGTAGACAGGACAACCAGAATGGCAGAATGAAAAGTTATGTGGATCCTCACCAAAGGAGTAAATCATTTCAGAGGTAAAAAAATATATAAATTAAAAAACTCCAATTAAAGCCTCGGGAATTGTCCTAAGGACAAACAGCAAACTAAAAAACATAAAATAAAAATAAGAATCTATACAAAATTTATTGACTTTCACTAAGAACAGTAAAAAAAACTGTGGCCTCTGAGCCATAATCGGACCCCAACGTCCACTTGCCTTCTGCCCTCAGATCCCAGAACAGAGGTCCACCTGAGTGCGCCATGCAGACCAGTGCTCCCTCTGTCCCCGTTTTCAGTGTAGGGTTGTAATTTCACCCTAGAGGGGGGGAGGCAGGTACCAGGCTGCCAGTCTCCCTGTTCAGACTCCAGCATCCTCACAAACCAACACCTCCAGGGCTCTAACCTTCAGCAGACCTGAAGGACCTTTTTGGAATACAACATGAAACTCATGTGAAAAAAAAAAAACAAAGAATTTCACAGTGTACACATAGAAATAGACCAAAACATTGCAGTTTCCACAAATGCATAGAATTATGATTCTTCATTCCAGATTAATAAGAATGCCATAGAGTACCCAAATTCATCTCCAGTGCAACTACTCAATAAAAGCACAATGGAGAGGTCTGTGGTGAGCAATACGGCAGAACTGACAGCTCCAAGATACTAGAAGAAACAACTGTGCATCAGCTACAACTTTCAGAAAGAACAAGAAAGGCAGCAAAAAAGGACCCCTGGGTTCACATTCATTCTTAAGGGTCCAGAAGGCTGTGCATAAGAATCACTTTGCATTAATTGAAGGAAATCAAAACAGAATTTACAGCAGACTTAAAAGTATCCTCCAAACCATATACAACTTCATGCATCAATAATGCTCAAAGGGCTTTAGAACAATCTCTGATAAAAAAAAAAAAAATCACCTAAATAAGAATTTATTTCAACCCAACAGCAACTCTTAGGAAGCTAGAAATGAAAACAAAATCCAGTTTATGGGCCCAGGGTGGTAGCCTAATGGCTAAAGTCTTGGCCTTGCATACTCCAAGATCCTAGATGGGCACCAGTTTGTATCCTAGCAACTCCACTTCCTTCCAGCTCCCTACTTGTGGCCTGGGGAAGCAGTACGGGGTAGCCCAGAGCCTTGTGACTGCACCCGTGTGGGAGACCTGGAGGAGGCTCTTGGCTCCTGGCTGTAGACTGGCCCAGTTCCAGCTGTTGTGGCCATTTGGAGACTAAATCAGTGGATGGAAGCACTTTGTCTCTCTCCTTAAGTCTGCCTTTCCCAAAAAAAAAAAAAATCTTAAAAGTATGTATATAAAATCCAATTCATAGCTGATGGTCTGAAAGACTCATTGCTAGAGCCAGCATGACTCAGCACGTTAAGCTGCCATCTACAGTGCCAGCATCCCATAGAGCTGCCGGTTGCTCCACTGCTTCAAATTCAGCTCCCTGCTAATGTGCCTGGGAAAGTAGCAGAAGATGGCCCAAATGCTTGGGTCCTTGCCACTCACTCTGGAGACCCAAATGGAGGTCCAGGGTTCTGACTTCACCCTGACCCATGCCCAGCTGATACGGACACTGGAGAAGTGAACCAGCATATAGATGATCTCTTCTGTAAATCTGCCTTTCAAATAAATAAGTAAATCTTAAGAAGAAAAAAAAAAGATATATCTTTCTACCTCTAAGGAACAAGAAGAGAACCTTGGATCTCCTTGATGAAGACTTTCAATGTCAAGGATATAATCAAAAAGTATAAAGTAAAAATCTAACAAGCTAAGGTGAATGAAGTATAATCTGACCAGTGTTTTTCTATGGCTTCAAGATCTGATGATTCTAGGCAGCTAAGCTAAAAGAGAAAAGGGGATAGGTTTGAATATGACCGTTTGAGACTATCATGACTCCAGACAGGTGCTGTGATGCAGTGGACTTAGCTGCCACTCAGGATGCTGACATCCCAGATCACACTGCCCGAGTTCAAGCTCTGTTCCACAGAGTCCAGCTTCCTGCTAATAAGCATTCTGGGAGACAGCAGGTGATAGAGTTGAAGTTGTTGAGTCCCATCTAACCACATGACTCGGGCCTGAGTTGGTAACTCCAGGTGATAGCTCAATTAACTTGGGTACCTGCCACCTATGTGAGAGACCCAGATTGATTCCTAGGTCCCTGCTTCAGACTAGCCCAGCCCTGACCAATGTGGACATTTAGGTAGTGAATTAAAATCTCTCACTCTTTCTTTCAAATACTTAAATAAAACTTTATTTTAAAAATGAAAACACCTACAATAAGAAACACAGGATAATAAAAAACCATTATCCACAGAAGATGAAACATATTAACTAAAATCAGTTTTTAATTTTAAAAAAATGCACAATGTGGCCCATATATAGGAAATGAAGCTGGGGAACTGGAGCAGGACACATGGGCTGCAGGCAGCTCCTTGCTAGCTTTATCTTTGGCTACCTACATCACAAAATTACCAACCAAATGAAAATTCACCTAATTAAAGAGGCTCAACAGATCAACTGAGTTCATAGAAGAAAAAAAATTAGTAAAAAAAACAAATTGTTTAAATAACTTTTTAAATTATATAACCAGAAGAACAAACTTCATATATCCAGATAAGAAATGCAGATAAAAGTATCTAAAGAACAACGATGGAGTCTTTGCAAAGCTTGGTTAAAAACAACAATCAGGGCCAGAGTTGTATAAGAAATGAAAAGGAACTTAAAAGTTTATGAAAATAGAATTAAATGATACGTTTATGTCAGTACAATAAATTTTAAATCCATGCATAATAATAATACATTTTTCATGAACTTATTGAAGATTTCTTTTATGTTTTGGAAAAGATTCCATTCCTTTGTAATCACTATTTAAAAAGTAATAGACAATTCCACAAAATCCATAAACTATTAATGTCTGTCTATTCAAGGTAACCAAAGCCAAAAGGCAAACTGAAAAAAAATACCTGTTGTAGATACAGCAAAAATTCACTATCATTATTTAAAGCACAAACATCAGGTGGACCCTTATTCATCTAAGATTCAGTACAGAGAGTTAAGGCCCAGCTCTGACTGCTGGAGCCATTTGGGAAGTGCACCAACCAATGCAAGCTTTCCCTCTTTGTCTCCAAACAAATCTTTAATACACACACTCAAAAAAAAAAAAAAAACTTTACTTTTATTCTAAAAAAAAAAAGCTTCAGTTAACCCCAAACACACCAAACCAATACTCTTCCATACTATCAACATCTTTGTCTCTTCTCCAGTACCAGCATTCCATACATTCTATTCAGATGCTCATCTCTGGAAAACTGCCATGTATGGCCTAGCCAGTTTAAATACATCTACTTCTGTTTCTTCTATCCTCTCTCCCCATCCTCCTTCCACATCTCTGAGACAGACCCAGGCACATCCCTCCCAAACACACCTCTTGAAAGATGATAAAGTTGAAGTTCCTCGACATATAACACAAGGCACCTGAAAAACTGGCCTTTGACAACGCATCTCTGCATTCAACACGTCACACTCAAGGTCCTAACAAAACACTACTACCCTTTCTCCTTATCTTCATCCCCATTACAGACTCCTTACGGTTTCCTACTTCAAAACTTATCTTGTTCAATCGGTCTGTAAAAATTAACACTCACTCAAGTGACTGTTCCTTTCTCTTCCACTTACTGATGGAATCCAAGGCTTGTTATTCTAATGCAGAGAATTTGGGGACCAGCAGTAAGGCTGCAGTAAATTAAGCCTCCACCTACAGTGCCAGCATCCCCCCTATTGGGAGGCAGGTGGGAATCCCAGCTGCTCCCTTTTTCATCCAGCTCCCTGAGAAAGCACGCCCTTAGGCCACTGCACCTGTGTGGGAGACCAGGAAGAAGCTCCAGGCTCCTGGATTCAGACCAGCCCACTTCTGGCCATTGTGGCCATTTGAAAAACGAACTAGTGGATGGCAGCTCTCTCATTTCTCCTCCTCTAGCTGTAAAATTTACCTTTCAAATAAAAGTAAATAAATCTTTTTTTCTCTGCTTTCAAATCAAGGATGGTTTCCCAATGAAACTATTGAATTTATCTGGATAGTGGGATGCTGAACTCCTTGGCATGGTCCATGCTCACAATGATGGAATTATG